GCGGGATGGGCGGCAGCGGAGGACGCAGGGGTGACACTGGCCACTTGCTCAGGTGCGGAAGCTTAAGAGAGAGGAAGAGGTGCGCATACCATACCATTCAACCATTCAATCACTCTCTATTCGACCATGTTATATCTCACTCTCTCTCTCTTCAATGATTACCACTCGTACACTGTATGCATTATACTGACTCTCTCTTTCTCTCTCTCTTTCTCTCTCCCTCTCTCTCTCTATCTATCTATTTATCTATCTATCTATCTATCTATCTATCTATCTATCTATTTATCTATCTATCTATCTATCTTCTTTTCTCTCTCCCTTTTCTATCTATTTTTTTATTCCATAATTTGCTTATTCTTGATTGCATTTTTGAGCAGCATGAATGACAGTTCTGGGCTATAAGACCGAGAAAAAGGAATTTTACAATGATTTTTTGGAGAATTGCCGTCATAAAAATCATTTTTAAAAAAGTAACAACGTATCTAAATATTTTAAGAAACAAACAAAGCAATGTTTTGCAACTTTAAACAAGTTTTTTTTTTTAATCTTAGTATTTTTATTAAAAATCATCAGTACCTGGTGGTTCAATTGCACACACCGCGCTGTTTTAACTCAAAGTTTTTTTGATTATCTTGTTAATATTCCGGAAAAAAATATGTGTGCGTTATATTTTTGCCAAAAAGTGGATAATGATGAGATGCTAATATACATATTCGCGAATGCTTGTTTTAACATAATTGCTGTACGCGCGTGTATGTTATCTCTGTACTACACCGTTGATCTTACTTTAGTGAGTGCTCCCGCGAGTTTACTAAAAAATGCAGTATATCGAGGTGCAGGTTTATATATTATTTCGCATCATCTTGGTAAGAAGTTACGTACCTTACTACACCGCAACCATATGCTGAGAACGTCAGCACGGGATCAGATGTCGCTTTTTATTCGCGTCACCCAGACTGTCTCGCACTTTCCTTATATTCATTCCGTTTTCTTCCTCTTTTACTTCTCACTTTCTTCTCGTCTCTTCTCCTCCGCTCAGTCTTTCTTTTGCCTCGCGCTTACGCGTCTCTTTCTCTTTGCTGTTTTTTGTCTTCTTACCTGTAATTTCTATCCGATTGATCAAGGTCGTAGCCCATTCATCACGACCGGTAGTTTTCGTTTTTCTTGCTTGCATGTACGTATGTAAACTTGCTTTAAAAATTCGATTAATACGAATGCGATTTCAATTTCTCGTTTTTATTTTTCTTCGGACGAGCGTAAGTTGGAAATTAATATGATCAAGAGACGTGAGAGTTTTTCCAGTAGAAAAAATAACATCTGAAATATTCTCCTCTAATTATGTCATTACTTTCACATTTTTATCGCACATACTTGAGAAGTTTTAATATTTTCACGTACTTGTAAAAAAATTAAAACGATATGTACACTTATCCGTACAAGCATGTCGTACGTTGCAGCAATTGAAAGAGAAACGGCGCGAAGAGAAACTTTCTTTCTGCGGAACGATTTGGTGCCGGTCAGTGTGCGCTTCGCACGACTACTTCGACAAAAAAATTTATAAAATTACTTTTTCTCTCATTAATGCAAATTTTTATACATAAAGTTTCGTGTATCGTTTAGTTTTTTTCTTTCAAATCTTTGAAATAAAAAAAAAAAAAAAGATAAATGCGTTTGCGAATTATACAATTTAAAATTAATTTTAACGCGCGCGGTTATATAATTTACACGGTGAACATAAACAACGCATGTTTATTGTACATTACACGCAATCCTATCGAGGCATGATGTGATTTCTGATTGTCCGTTCGTTGTAATGTAACAATCGATGTCACATAGAATAAAAAAAAAACCTTGTAATGGCGATACACACTCAAGATATTGTAATAGGATTGTAGTGTTTGTGCTTTTTGACAGAACCAGTGACATACTAAAACTACCCATTTACGTTTACAAATAAGCTATTATCAACTTAGGCACAGTCGACTTTGCTAAAGTGAAACCTGCTAAAATGAAATAACCGCGAAAGTGAAAGAATCCTTATTAAAGTTTATTTCTGCTGCTTGTGGTGCCGACATCTCATCATCGTGACACTTGTCACACGATTGCACACGCAAAGAAAATTAATCCTGTAATATGTTCTTGTACGCTGGATTGTTACCAGAGAGAGGATTAAAGGAGAATCTCAAGACGATTGGTCGCATCCGATCACGAGGATTTCACTTTATTGAAGTTCGACGCGTGTCACGATTATAGATTTTTTACTCCTACATATAAAATACAGCAAATATCACATATTTATTATATACTGTAACTATTTGTGTATGTTATATCTAGAAGAAAAAACGATATGATAAATAACGTCAATTTTAATGTAGCTCTTTTGCTTTATCTCTATCTTTTAACATCACGTTTTTTATACCAGTACGGCTGTTCCATTTTCTCTCCAAGTTTCTTCTTTAGAAAGAACTTTTTTCTATTCTCTAACTGATACGTATCGATGTTTGAAAAATTATGTATTGACGCAACGCACGATATAATGACGAGAGTTTTTAGGCTATGGGCCGAAGTGTTCCATGTGAACTCGAGCGGAAGTGGGACTTTCAAGTGGCAGCAGGTGTCCGAGGATCTGGTGCCGGTTAACATCACCTGTATCCAGGATTCGCCGGAATGCGTCTATCATATCACCGCATACAACAGCCAGGTCGATAAGATTCTAGACGTGCGGTTGGTTCAACCTGGTGAGTCGTAATTGAAGAGAAAATTAATAAAAAAGTATAATATTATAACTTTAGGAAAAAAATATAAAAGAAATTACGTATGAGAAAAACATATATAAAAAAAAAAAAAAATTAATAAATAAATACGTACTTCTATATGTGTATTTTTATTAAGTTGGTTCTCTACATTTTTTTTAGATTATTTTTAGAAAAGATATATGTACACAATATAATGACACACACACACACACATATACAGTTGAATGTCAAAGTAATTAATGTCACATGATTGTGTTTAAGGAACGCGTATCGGCCAAGCGTCGGAGTGCTTTGTTTACTGGAAGGATACAGTGACAAATGAGACTTGGGGGTTGAACTTCACATCTCCCATAGATGCGAAACAATTCAAAGAATGTTGCGTAAGTTTAGTAATATTATATTCCGTAACACGCATCTCTCTCGTAATACATTATACATCGTGCCACCACAACTTTGAGTAGCTTAGCTATCATTTTTTATCGACGTTTCCACCTATTTCCTTCTCTATCTCTCTTCCGGGTCGCGCACGAGGAAGTTGTGCGGGAGATAATATTTTATAGGAAGAATACACAAGTCCGATACAAGTTCGATTCGACTCTCGAGATCATTTGCAGTCACTAGTTAATTTTCCATACAGTCACCGTCGTTCAAGATTTCAAGGAAAGCGTCCTCTTCTTACTCGTTGAAGCTCGAGCCATCGAATAAGCAGAAGATCAAAACACGCCGAAAGCCATTGTCGACACCGGCCTCACCAAGTCGATCCAGGGAAAGGGAACCTCAGTGCACCTGCATGACGCCGGATCAGCTCGCAAGGATACGTAGCAATCAAGACCCCAGATATCGAAGTCCATGCGGTATATAAAATATATATCATGTATAAAACTATAATAAAACAAAATAGATATTGATCAATATGTGGATATTAAAAAAAAAAAAAACACAGATTATTGATTTTAACATTGATTTTTGATCGTTTGCTCGTTTGAGAGCCGCGCTTATTATTAAATCTGTCAATGTTTTGACGGCAGGGCCGTCGACACTTCCGCGGACCATAGTGAGATCGACGGAAATCGAAATGCCATCAGGACGAGACAAGATGACATCGGCCACATCCAGCGCGTCACTCTACGACAATGTCAATAATCCTACTATGACACCTGGGAAAACACCAAAGGCCGGCGACTCGGCCAAACAGAAGGAGAAGCAGAACGAGACATGCCAGACAACCCCGAAGACTGCCACCGTTGGATCGCAGGCAAGCGTCAGTCTAAATTAAGCATAAATTCCTTAGAAGAGATATGTATATCTTTTCAGTGGTAAAAAAAAAGTTTATTCCATTTATTATATATATATATATATATATATATATATATATATATACCTATGTCTTACATGTATAGGTAGTTTACTCTTATACAAGTGTGTGAAAAGTTCGCATATTTAAAATAAAAAATCAATTTGTTCTTATATTTGCAACGTATAAAAAGAATGCACGAATCAGGAAGATATTTATATCATTTCGAAAATTTATTCCTTATAGGATTATTGCAAAATGCGCTTTTTAAAGTATCTTTAAAAAAAAATAATAATAAAGTCGTTGAAACAAATTCACGACGCAATTGCGAGCATTACCAATAATAATGTACCACCTCGACAGATCGACAGCCCCGAAGAGAAGGGATCCACGATATCGCCGAAGAAATTGCAAAAGCAGAGCCAGGACTCGTCCACGCAGCAGAACGGCACCGAAATGCTCAAATCGGAGGGCACGCAGGCTGGTGGGACTCTGCAGAGCAAATCGCTGCGCAAGGAGCAGCTGCACCACACCAAATCGGCCGATTACACCGAGCTCGAGATGCAGAACGGCAATTTGTTCAACATCGTCAACAACAATCACGGTAGTCACAAGTCGAAGAGCAAGAGCACGGACGACATGCGAATCGAGAACGCGCAGAACGGCGGAATCAGCGTGGACTCGAACATGCTGAAGCGCATGCTGAAGCCGATGCCGAGCATCGACAGCCCGGTTACGTCGCCGGAGATGACGAGGAAACGCCACAGCCATCACAGCTATCACTATCATCCGAGCAATAACAATCAGAAGTACATGATGCAGGAGATCGACAACGAGAATTACGCGCATCCCTATCGCGTCCCCTACAACAACAAATTTCAAGGATCCAGGAGCGCTCACGATATGAGCCGGCAATACTCTGGTACGATTCTCTTCTGCTAATTTGCCGTTAAATTCAACGCTATGATTAATCTCTTCCATTTTTCAGACTTTTTTTCAGGCAAATACTTTTAAATGTTTTAGTATATCTTTTTGTTTGCTACAGTATTTGAAAAAGTTTGCTATACATATCTTACATATGTGTATATATGTATATATATTTTACCATCTCTCTAATAATCTCTAATTATTTATATATCTAATGAATCTCTCTCCTGATGAATAATCACATTGATACAAATATCAACAATTTGATAGAACCTAAACAGAGTAACATGTGCTATTTTATCGTTGAGACAAGTAACATAACTTACCGTTAATAATATAAAAAAAGAAATTGTTTTATCTCGAGCTAAAAAATATCTTAAAATTCAGAAAAAAATGAAATATACAAGTTGCGCTACAGTTGTTTATCTCAACGATGAAAATTAATGTTTTCGAGGAATCAATCTCGTAATTCAAAAAAAGTAAATTCTCTTGTATAAACAATAATTTAAACGTAATCTGAGAGATTGTTTGACAACAGATTTTTTATTTGTAAAATTTATAATAAGAGTTAAGGCGCAACAGAGAAAGCGCAAAAGAATCTTACGATTACGTGATCGATTCCGCACATAATCTCTCATCTCTCCCTTTGCTTGACCTAATAAATCCGGCGAACGCGTAACACTGTGTAACTAACCAGCAACTCTGTGAACTCTGGTCCACGGCACCTCTTAACCTTTAGCTACACCCTCGGTACAACTTAACATGCGCACAAAAAGCAACAAGGTGGCCAGCCAGCTCCACCCTGATGAAAGTCAGGGGTCACCACCCGTCACCACTCACAAGCACCCCTAACATTTTGTTACTCCTAACCTTCTTATATACGTAACATGCGCACTAGGGGACAACGTACTTGTCCTGTCAGCCTGACGATAGCCTCGTGGCTCATTCTTGGATGGACCACTTCTCGAGTTACGCGTTCGCTGGTCCTTTACCGACTGACACGTTCTCCATTGATCAGCGGACCACCGCACGACTCACCACGTCCACTCGTACATCTCCTGCACTCTTGGTTGCACCTCTCTGCTCACAGGCGGCAGAGGCAGGGCGTACTTAGATTCGGAAAGTAATCGGTGCACAGGTGACATGTCGCCGCCTTCGGACAACGTCATCTTCGACAACCAGTGCTACGCCACCACGCCGAGCTCGTCGAACGGCAATTCCGACATGGAGCAACCGAATCACTGCAACTCCCGTCGCTGTAACAACGGCCAGTCATATCAAAACATGCAGTCGGTGTCGACGCCAGGCAGTCCGACCAGCCGTCTGCTCCTCGAATACGAGATGCATCTCAGAAACACCCTGGCCAAGGGCATGGACGCCGAGAGTTACAGCCTGCGCACGTTCGAGGCCTTGCTCACGCAAAGCATGGAGAACTTGGGTAATTTTAATCGCAATCGCAGCATTTCACGAAAATCTATTTTCACGTTGTAATATAGCAAGCTTGTCACATCTTGATTTTTTTTCTTTTTTTTTTATTACTGCTGTTTATAATTATTTTCTCTTCTTATAATTTTTTTTCTTGCAATACCGTTTATCTCCTTGTTCTTTTCACGAACGAATTACTTAAACTTAATAAATTTTCTTCCTAACTTTGTTTTTTTTTTTTTTTCATTTACAATTCACAAGCAGATACAATTATTAATAGAAATAAGTAATTATCAGAAAGCAATTAATTTCGAATAAGAGTTTGTTTGATTGAAAAGAGAATTTTTTTGTTTTAGAATTTGCGGAAAACATACCGTTGAACGTTCAGCGTACACCTCACGTTTCACGAAGACGTAAGTTGGAAACGCGCCTTCGGAAATTGAGATATTATCTTGCTCGAGTTCCGTAAACACACTTTCTTTCTTTTTTTTTATTTCGTACTAACGTCAATTACCGTGATTGCAGGTTCCAGTTCTAACAAGTCTTCAACTCTGCCGTTATCCTATCGCTATTGCAACGAAAGACAAAACAGCAAGGATCGGGACGGCTATTACAGCGACCGCAACGAGGTGGCGAGAGAGAAGAGAGAGCGTGACTCCGAGCGCGATCGAGACCGTGGTTATCTCAGCGACTACAATTCTAGGTAAATCACTACTCAGGCTTTCATTAACCTGCCATTTGCATCGTAAAAGATTCCCGCGCATTCGTTTATCGCGCTTCTATATTATTCAACGAAACGTATATAAATGGATGACGCGCGGAAAAGCGAACGAATCTCTTGCTAAGTTTTTATTTTATTGAATTTACATGTTTTTATTTACGTCCAAGGATGATTTGGTTAATAATCAAAAAGTAAATAAGTGATAACTTCGAGATATTTTTATCTTTAACGTAGAAATTTGTATAAATAGAAAACGAGAGATTTATTTAGGATATATTTATTTTTTATCATTATTAATTGTATAACAAAAGTATTTTTTTTTTAATGCGTGAATTTATAAAATTATAAGAGATATTTAAAAAATTTTTATACATTAAATTGACATAATATAGTATAAAATTCTTTGTTAAAAACATATAATTTAAATAAATTCTCCAACCATTTTAAATAAAACGTGTTTAAATATTTTTCGGAGAGATTTCAACAAATTTTACGTAGTTGAAATTAAATATAAAAGTGATTTATCGATTCTGTGCCCCTCGATTGAAAATATCAACGGGTATAATTAAAACGAACGCGCGTGATATGCTCGATAAATAATAAGCCAGCGATCCCTCGATTTGTCGAAGAGAGTTTGCTCGAAAAAAAGGCGCGAAAGTCGCCATTGCGAGACTTTGACATTTAAAGGGCTGCGTCCTACCATCAGGTGCGGTCAATGAGACGTGCTCACCCATTAAGGGCACTCTGGATAATATCACCGGATATATGACATCGTCTATCGATAGCCAACGGAGGGCGCATAAAAAAATATCACGTGCGCCATAAGAGGCTATCGATGAGCGACGCGCGTCGCGCGTGGTGTCTATCGAAGTTGTGTGTATTGAAGGTGCGCCCCTCGATAGAACGCTCAGGCATCGGCGCATGCATCATCATCCCCCGACTGTTGCCGGCGCGTTGTGCATTACGGGTCAGCGACGGCGACTGACAGCAGCAGCAGCGCGGACAGCTCCATATAGTAAATATAGAAAACTTCGTGAGTGGGTTTTATCCCAGGACGGTGGAGAACCAAGAAGAAGAAGAAAAGTGTTTCAAGTGGGCGCAAAAGAGAAAACGCGCGAGAGATTAGCCACGTACGCAATTACCGTACTCCGGTGCATCAGGGTGTTGTGCTTAAAACAAACGCGAACGAGAACGATCTCTTGCGAAAAGACGATGATAATGCGCGACAGGATGCGCGCGAGTTTTGCATACACCTGTGTGACACCAACTAGGAATGTTGCAGTGCGAGATAATAAAAATTATTATTGAATTGATTATTGGCGTTGTTCGATAGATTGCGTTGCGGTGGGCGGGATTGATAACATTTATATCTCTTCGTTATCCAAATACGTTGAATTAATTGTCACAGCTGATCGCGTTGTGATTGATTTTGCAAACAATGAATTGTCAGCGTAAATACTGGTCGCTCGAAAGGCCGCGAGAATCGAAAAAACTGCCGAAACTGCCTAAGTTACCGGAAAAAATATTTTATCGAATTCTGAACGACGGATCCGAAGATCACAGCAAGAAACACGTCAAGTTTCAACTGCTCGGAGAGGACAATCGAGCGAAGACAGTCATACCCTTTCCGGATTATTCGCCGGTGCCCGCTCGGTATTGTGTGCATGATAAATGTGTACCGATAAATTTTAAATCTTAATTCGATAAAAAATAAGACAAAGAGAATTATCGTTTACATAAATATAAATACAGATTCTTAATTATGGTGTTATTTTGTGTGTCAAATGATATAACAATAATAATTTTTTTGTCAAATAATAATGAATCATTGATAAAAGAGATGCAAATGGAGGTTTTAAATTATTTTGTTGTTATTTTGTTAAATGATATTAATAATTAACTGATAAAAGATAGATACACATGTGTCGCTTTATTTGTATTATATAATAAATAATAAATTGTAATATAAAAAATGTAATATATGAAATAATATAATAAATTGTATACAAGAGTTTTTTATTTTCTCTATAAATAAAAAATAATTCTCTGTGTGTGTGAATACAATAATTATTACAAAAAATAATTACAGATATGTAATATATATAATACAAATAATAATTATATAAAATATATATGTTAATGTAATTAATCTATGTAATCGATATTTTCATTCAAGATGTGCCAGTTGCATCGGCGAGTCCGCACGTGCACAATGGTTTCGACACTCAGACGGATGGCAGTCGGGCAGTTCAACTCTTGGTTCCGGTGCTTCGAGTTCGATAAATCCAGGATATTCGGGACACAAGAGAGACTCGCCCTGGGATTCTCTTCCCTCTCTGCGACATGAAGACAGCGGTTACAAATCTAACCGGACCGATTCTCTCGAACAAAGGTGAGAAAGGTGATGATTTCTGTAGGAAATTAAGTTGTGTCAAGTTGAAGAATTTTTTACTCAACAAAATTTCTCCAAAAAGTTTAGTCTTTCTCTCAGTTTGAAATATTGTTGTGCGTATGAATTTAGTTTTATTTAAAAAAAATCGTAGCACAAGAAACGACAGAAACTAATATTTTTTAACTATGATTGATATTTAAAAAAATAGGTATCTAAGCTAGCGTAACGTGTAACGTTCTTTGTTTTTTTTTTTTTTTTTTTAACAAGTAAAAAAGATGCGCGTGCGCAGTATATAAAAATATAAATATATCGCGAGAACCAAGCGTTGCAAAAAGAACTCTTTCGTTGTACAATACACACTTGAGCATTCTTTTTCGGTTCTTGTAGATGACGCTCAGTCACCTGCCTTTCGTCGTTCTTGTATTGTTCGCATTGTCTTCAGTACCTAGACCATGCCCCCGCACTTCCTTCCTGCTTTTATCCCACATTTCGATTGTTCTTTGTACAATCCCGAAAACGTTTTTACTAACGGTTTTACCAACTTTAGTATTACGAAATAGATCTTTCTCTACATTATCAACAAAAAACAATATAAAAACATATCAAACAGATAACAAAACTTCTAACATCATTGAAAGTGAAAAAAAAAAAAAACCAGTTTGCTTAAAATTTGCATTGTTATAACGGATCGAAAAAGGCACACACTTTTCGCGAGCCAATTTCTAATTGTAAAAAATATGGCAACAAAGATTGCAATTAAACGTTTGTCTCGCTACGCTTATTACAAACTACACTGCGCGTCATTCAATTGAAAATGAATGTTACGTATTTCAGAGGTACTTTCGACAGACAGGACAGCGTCAGATCCGATTATATGTCCGACCGAGATGGCAGATACGGAATCGTTCAACAAGCCTCGTTGGAGAGCACGGACTCGAGACTCTGCTACTTGACGTCTTCTGAGGTAAGTTATCCGAGCACTCGTGACCTTATCAATCCGATACAGCCGAGTGTCACTTAATGATGCCTTTGTAGTCGCAGTTCGCAATTCATAAGCTAAGCACTGTAGGTGTATATAGAACATATACGAGTGCCCGCTTGAATGTCTTGTACTAATTTTGCATGTTTCGAATGTGTCAATGCCAAATAATTACACGTAGATAATGAAGAACTACAACCACGTTGATAAGAGAGAGGTTGTTAATCAAGATTACACAATCTGTCTTAATTTATTTTGATGCGTACCATATAGTTACGAAATTAATGCTTAAATTAATTCTATGCTCTCTTAAGAGTCGAGAGCGCTCACGTTCTCTGTCTCTCTTCTGAATTAAATATTAAATTTAATTACATATATATTCAATATTAATTAAAAGTTAAATGCACATTATCCGCGTGACGGCTTTTTGTTGTGAGTATTGATGTAATTGAAAATGAATAGACTTCGTTCAAAATGGGTAATATATAATTAAGAAGCAATTCTCTCTCTCTTTTTGTATTTATATGTACATATATGAATATTTGTGATTTAAAATGACCAAGTACAGTCGGTCCCTCACATTTGCGCGAGAGCTTAAAATAGTTCTTTTCTCTCGGACAAACTGTAAAGCAAAACAAATATAAAGCGTAAAATTGTTTTACGCCAAAATATGTTTGTCTTTTGTGGTTTCGAAGTGGAATAAACAATTTGAAGACCGTAGTTTTTGCAAACGTCTGTATCTACGACGTGTAAAATAGTTTTCTTTATTCTATCTTAATTACGGTGAAATCGCGCAACTTGTGATTCATTTCATATAATTCTAATCGGCATGGTTGCACAAATTGTGTTTGGATACCGACCACGCCTATGTTGTAACGGCGACGTTACAAAAGAGGTCAACGCGAATCGAGAAAGCGGAAGCACACATACATTGTCGATAATCGCAAGCCGGCGTTTTGTCCGCGAAAAACGTTTCGGTAAAAAAAAAATCTTTGTGCAACGTCTCCAAGAATTAAGTTGCAAAAAATGATGCAATCCATTTTCTTTATCTCTGTCGCAATCGCACGCAACGTGAAAACGTCAAACGTCAACGTATGAATTTTGGACTTTCATGTTTACCAATATTTTATGAGTACACGCGTCGATGAATTATTCATCCTCATGTAAAAATCTCTGCGACAAACATCGATATCTTACTGACTATGATGATATATGTATATATACATACGTGTGTGTATACATATATATATATATATATATATATATATATATGTACATATATCTTGCGCATATTTTGCATTTTAGATCATTTTTTGTGTCACATTTATTTTTAAAGCGCACACAGTTTTTGACGTGAAACGGGAGTGATATTGTTATAATTGTTTAATTAAATGCTCAACTTACTCAATTATAAACAGAATTTTAAAAACCGCGAGATAAATTTGTCACGCGTATGTGTTCTCGGAGCTAAAAAAGATATGTGTGTCAGTGGAACTTAAAATAAAAAACTTCGCGTATTTTTATGATACAGGAAACAAGACAAAGAAAACAAAAACAAATGTTTAAAGAGATATATCATACGTTTTTAAAATCTCAATTTAAATGGACTTGATAGAGAGAAAGATAGATAGAGAGAGAGAGAGAAAGAAAGAGAGACATAACTTAAAAAAAAGATCTAGATAATTAAAAACCACTTATATTGAATAGTTACTTAAAGAATTTTGCGAGAGAGTAAGAATCAAAACTTGAGAGAAGAGAAATCTCTTGTGTTTTGTGAAAAAAAAATTCTACACTATATTTTCTGCCTCTTATAAAAAGGTCGGTGGTGCTTTTACGGCATGTTGTGCGCAGAGAGACACGCGCTTAATGGTTAATAGGTCGCGCCGAGATTAGCGGGCCAAGCCCGTTGCTCGACGTATACAAGTAAATAAGACGCGAGAGTACCTCTGCACCGTTGCACAAGTCGAGCAGCGGCCTGCGCCAACAGGTACATGCGCAAACACACATCGTCTTCCGCGACTTTGGCGCTTCCCCGTCACCTCGCCATTATAACGATTCGCATTAGCGATGATGTTAATGCGAAAAATCATCATCAAGCGGTACACAATTGCAAAAATATTATGATCGGAACCGTTTGCGTGTATGTAAATTGATCTCGTGAGATGTGATACAAGGAGACACACGTCGCACACGATATACGTGTTACAACCGGCGATTCTTATATCTCCAAGTTACGAGAGGAGAACTACACCATAAAATTCAATAAAACTTTACGTTGTTCGCATGCGCGCGACCTGTTATATATAATCCGCGTAGAATTTTTTTTTTTTTTTTCAATCTTCTTCTCTCGATTCTCTCTGCGACGGCAAAAATGAAGTATGTACATACGTATGTACGCGCTTACGTGACGCAAAGCGCGAATGAAAGAGATGCGAATAAATAACAATCGAACATCGGCGCGTTGCGCATTTAATCGATCGCGATGAATGCAACTCATCGCTGTTTGACGTGCAGCTCGTGCATCGGTCTATTTTTGTGTCCACATAGCTGCAGATATTTTTCTTTATTTTTGTTAAAAGTGACATTGTTAAAAAAAAAAAAAAAAAATAGAGTTATTATATATTTGTTGAAAATATAATATATTAAGAAATAAAATTATTACATCTTTTGCTCGAAATAAAATTATTGCATCTTTTGCTGTAGAATACTTAAAGAAGTAAGTGCGAAGAAGAAGCCCGATACGATAGGAAAAAAAGAGACTTACACACTCCAGAACAAATTAATCTTACGAGAGGAAAAAGGTCGGTTTCTTTGAAATCAAAGGAAATCCATGCTTTTGCGAAGGAAAATAAGAAAGCGAGAGTCAAAACGCTTGAAAGCTCTTTTATTTAACGCATCAAAATCTCTTCGCTCTTGAATCCTTGATGTTTAAAAATAAAATTCATATGTATACGAGAACGCGCGCGTGACTCTGGAAAACTGGCAAATTTTTTTTGTAGAAATGCACTTAGACAGTTGGTGAAATTGATTCGTGATACGATTCGTCGAGACCCCCCACACATTTTTTTTTTTATATTTTATTTTACTGTTAGTTTCCTCAAACATGTCGGATCTCCAGGTCAGCGATACACTCGGCTGTTAGCGTCCCAGCGATTGATGACGATCGTGCAGCGCGCGTCGTGTTTCCCTTCCACACCCCGTTCTCTCACACCTTGAGCGGTGCATACCACCCCTTTCGCTCGTTTTGCTTCCGAAGCGTAGCTCCCCCACCCTCGGGATCGCAGGAACTTCCAATATATCCCAGTGTACCCACCCATCCTCACCCCTCGGGTATCCCTCTCTGCCACCACCGCTGCCTCCACTGCTGCCTCTACTTTTCCACCACCTCCTCCTCCTCCCTCGCGCCTGCAATCCCCCTTCAACTACCACAAGGACTGAGGTATTGATTCCCCTCGCGGTAGCAGCTCCTCTTCCCTGTTTTCCAGCGGCAGTTCGGAGCGAAGCGCGTTCGCGGCTGCGAATTTGGTGACATCCGTTTGCATAAGGCGGAGAGAAAGAGAAGAAACGAAAAGAAGCGAAAGAGAAAGAGAAAAGAGAGAGAGAGAGAGAAAAGAGAGAGAGAGCAAGCGAGAAAAACAATAAAAAGAGTACCCTGTCCGAGAAGTGGAAGCTCTTGTTCGTGATCGGATGCAATAGCGATCGGTACCGCCGATTTCGCCCGCTTATCTCAACGGTATAAAATAAGAGATTCCTTTCGCGGTGATGACGGTATCCTACGTCGGCGAGTCCGCGCGCAGCGTGGCTCATCGATCGACGAGCGTGTATTAACGGCACACACGCACCGGGAAAAAGAACGAGCGCGACGCAGCAGCACACGCGAGACAGAGCTCTTCTCTCCCTCTTTCGCAGCATCCACCGCGGCTTGCACCGCTGCTGGATGGACGCGCTCCTCCGAGGGAAGCGGCGCCGCTGACGCGCCGATGCGCGGGCGCCGAAAGTCGCCGAGTCGCATCGCGCGCGGGGTTGCATCCCCCAGGACAGCAACACCAACGACGTTGCCCGGCCCGCTAAACTGGTGAACGCGGGGAAGACGCACGCATTTGCGCGATGTGCATTTCCGCGTGAAATACGCCTCCCTACGAATGTGTTCGCAGCTTTCTGAGTACGAATATATTTCACGAAACTCCTCCGCACCGATCGGCGCCGGTCTCTGTGTTTTTAATCGTCGGATTGTCAACCGAATGTTTCACATCGCGCTCGGAAAACAACGGCAAAAGTCTCTTTGAGAAGTGAATCGGAAAACACACTTGGAGGAGACTTCGATCGAAAGACCCGACGGAGAAAACATTCATATACGATTAGTTTCTTCCGAGAAATGTCACTCAGAAGTTGAAAAAGAAAATGTCTAACTTCTTCGATTCGTAATTCTAATTGTTTTTTGTCGTGTGCAATTAATTGTGTGAAGATATAGATAATCGCGTTAAAACGAGACAACGTTCTCAAACAACTGATGCGATGAATTCTTGCGTCACAATGCGGGAGAACTGAAATTTGAGGCACAATATACACACGCGGTGGTCGCTGCTCTGCGGTCTCGGAATTCGGTCGCACGTGACAATGCGGGAGTGACGTGTGGAGGCGTATCATAGTGTGCTTTCGACGATGGCAATTTTATGCCACTGGGTACCTGGATTCTTTCCTTCCCTTGCGAGATCGTTTCGAAACTGATTTCCGTCATGATATTACTTCCGTAGAATCGGGAACAGGTAGGTTCGCGATCGGCGAACGACTGATTTCACAATTTGCACAAGGCCGAATCATTCCCCTTTATATTGCGCAAGAAAAATTGAAAGAAAAGACGAAAGTACGAAGAGCAAAGAAAGGAACGTGAACCGAAAAGGGGATGTGTGAGTTTTCAGAGAACTAAAATAATAATAGTTTCGCGTCTTTTCTTATCCGGGGAAAAATCGACGCTTCGGAAGGACATGTAACACCGATAACGATGAGCGGGAACGAAAGAAAATCAACAGCGGATGAGCGAAAATCAACGTAGAGAGAGAGAAAAGAAAAAAAAAATATCTATATGTATACTTAAGCAGAGAACAGGAAGAGAAGTATTTTTCTATGGAGAGTTTGTTTCTATTGTGTGTATATAGAGAAAGAAAGAAAGAAAGAAGAGGTAGAAAAAATTATTGAATATTCTACATATATATATAAGCAATCCCGTTTCCGAAAAGGCGGGAGTTGAATGGCATCGTCCGCATTAATCATCCGGCATTGAGTGTTGACGATGTTTTCAGCTTGTCGCGAACGGATCTTCTCGAAGAAAGCTTCTCGAGAAGAGTTTTAGTGGAATTTTTTCTGCGTAATTAGTACCTGCGGATACTTGCGGTGCTCTCGTGTACTTCTTCGTGCGTCATCGTCCGCACTTTAGATTCTTGAATAGCTAGATTTAACAACTTAAATAGAGAAAGTCGCAGAGCTGAGAGGACATGGCGCATCTTTGTGACGAAGATAAATCTTAATAGTGCAAAAGACGTTTGCCTTAAAAATAGAAAAAACTTTATTAATAATTATTTTAAATTCGAAATAAAATTTATCGTACGTTAGGTAAAAACCCGATACCACCTGATACCAATCTTATCGAGCAACAGCTATTTTATTGTCGGTCGGCTTCTGGAATATATCGGTTATTTCGCAATTCTCACCACAAGAGCGTGCACAAAACAAAAACAAAAAAAAAACAAAAAAAAAAGAGGACGCTTGATGACTCAGACTCTATAGTAGTAATTCGAATCGAACAGAGGTGTCGCTAACACCTGATGTGATTAGCGACAAATATTTCGAGAAGATCGACCTGATAAGGTTGTGGGAGTACAAAAACGCATTTCTCGAAGAGAACAAACACACACACACACACACACCACTGAGCTTATACACCGATGACAATCGATCGCTGGGAAAATATCTGACCAAGCCACGTGGGTGATCCTTCTGCCGTCCGTGAGACAATAATAACATCACCGGAGAAGAAACGAGACATTATGAGCCGACGGCAAAATCGCTTCGCCTCGTCATCGAGAACCTGAGAATCTCAGGTCGTCATCCGGCAGTCTTCCTTTAACCTGGGAAGTCGCCCAGCCTCTTCCTCGTTCAGTCATCAGACAGGAGAAACGACGACAAATAATGGTAGAGCCGAGATGGTCGATCAAGTGTACGAATAGCACTTTGGACCTGTTGGACCCGAGCGACGAGAATTACACGGATCTGAAGACGCAACATCGGCGACGCTGCTGGAAGTACTTCTGCTGGTGCCGCAGGCACACGATAAGCGTGATATGCATTAACGAGTCGCGACGATTGTACTGGTTCAATTGTCGAAACGTGCAGGAGAAGGTGAGATACGGTCAGGGCGAGGGATACTATCAGAAGTTGCTGCGACTGGTGAACGGCGCGCTCAGCACCTGGGCTCAACGCTACATCGACGGTCTTAGCGTGGCACGTCGCGAAATTATGTTGAAGATAAACGGAAGCGCGGAGAACAACATGAAGCTGCTCAAGGAGGGCTGCTACTGCCACTATCATCCGCACATGACGGCGGACGCGTGTAACGCCGACTTTCTCAGAAGAGTCGTAAGTTTCTGGGCCGGCGAGAGCCTCAGGGGAATACGCGAGAGGCTCCGCGGCATGACGAATATCACGAAAAAGGTAGAGACCACGAGTCTCTCTATTCTCTTCCGAAAGAATGTTTTTTTTTTGTCTCACGTATATTGATTGATATTGTTATGCCCCTGTATGTTTCCGCTGTACTCCCGTGTATGCGGCGATCGCACTACCAGGATGTATCCTCGTTTGGATCCTCTCTCTCTCTCTCTCGTATTATTGGCATGTTGCTTCATGGGCAGAAGCGAGAGTAGAGAGGTGACTTTGGCAGAGAGTCAAAGTCTGCGCCGAGGTTCTAAAAAATGAGTCTTTCGTTCGTCGACTCCCTGACTTAATCGCATCATTCAAAATCATATATATCTCATTCTTCATATTCATTGCATATATTTAACTCTTCGGAGTGAGAAAAGAACTCGTAACAAAAAATCAATTGGATGAAAAAATTCATCGACGTACAAAGGCGGAAATAGAAGAGAAAATTTTTTAATTTTTGATTTTATAAGAGACATGGAAAGGATTGGCCTTCATGCGCTGAAGAATAGCACACACACAAACTGAAAGATCATATCATTGAGAATACTTGTTTGCAAATTAGGAATTGTATTCAAAACGCGTGAAATAATGAGCGAAAATAACGAGGGGATGGACAGCGAAAGCGCGGTGCAATTAGATAAAGCATTTTGCGTTCACGACATAATTATTGCTCGCTGTGAAACGCGAGCAAAAATATCGATTCTGGCATGTGCTGACACAAATTCTTAAAACGACCGTGATCTTGTGCAATTAAAAAAAACGAGCTTCCAAGCTGGAGTTTTCGCTGAAGTTTGTCTTGCGTCGGTGCTCTAGTTGCTATCGTTAACTTAGCATGCGCTGACTAAAAGCTATAAAATTTATTTGCATCTATCGATTATTGATAATCTGAATGTACCTCTGAGTTTTAATAATGTTTTTTTATTTAATGCGTTTATATATATATATATATAGTAATTATTACTTTGCGGGTAGGACTTAACTAAATTAACTAATTAGTGATACAATAACAGTCGCGATAAAAGAATAATTATAGAATAATAATATAGATATAAATCGATGCACACAAAATTAATTATAAAAGATATACAGCGAATATAATTATTGCAAATAACAAAGTCGTTTTTTTAAATTGATTGCGATCTTTGTGTAAGTGTAATTGTTTTTGCAAATTGATCAGTCGTATTGAAACACAGATTTATACGTATCCATATATTTTACACAATAATATAATAACGTAATTCACAATTTTTGCAATTCCTAAGTATGCACTTTCTAGATAGACAAAGCACTCTCAACGAATTCTGTACATAAAGCATCTTGTCATTATCAGTAATAGATCTTACCTCTGCATATGATTCATAATTTTTCATCAGTATCATTTTCCGTTTCACGATGTAATCGCACAATACGCACATTTTCACTTTTTTTTTCTGTACATTACGCATCGTTCCCTTCTACTACAGATGATTCCACGTGCACTATGTGTTATTATTGTTGTATATAAAGCGACCAAAGAGCGACGATGAGGAATAATTAAAAATAATTAAAATATTTGATTAAACTTTTGTTTTATTTGACGTGGAATCATTTGTCTGTCTCGACTGTTTCACCGATGAAGCGCGCGCGTCATTTGTAGATCAAGATTACGAAACGTCTGACGTATTTTCTAGATGTCGGACGACGATAGGATGTCACTCACCACCGCCGTCAGCGACGATGATGATGGCGAGAGCGTCATAAATTCGCCCTATCGTGGAAAGCAGACTGGAACGGCCGCAGCTTCATTCAATTGCACCGGTGCAGTTCGGAAATCAGGGTACGTTATCACTTCGGAGTCATTATCAGTTTATTCCTTGTAATATAATAAGCGTGAAATAATAAGTAGTAAAAGTATTGAAGAAAAAACACAGGAGTCTCTCGGTGTTAAATATATTCCTTTCGATAAAAAAAAATATATAAAGTTTACGAGAAAATAATTTTCTGAATCACACATTTTTGATGTTAGTTCAAGAATTCACTTAGGATCAGGTTGCTCCTTAAACCCTGATGAAGTGAGCTGAAATGTTCACGAAACGTCGGTATAAAAATGACACTAACGCGGTTCGAACCCGAAAAAACATCTTTGTATGTTAATACAACACACCGCGAAAGCATCAAATATCAGATGTAATTAAAATATTTTGGTTATAGATTTCTCAGTGTGAAGAAATGGTTATTGCGCAAGAAGCATCAGATCGAACTTGCCAGGAAGAGAGGCTGGAAAGGCTACTGGGTTTGTTTAAAGGGTACTACGCTTCTTTTTTATCCTTGTGATTCTCAAGAAAGCAAAGCCACGGAGGCAGCACCTAAACATCTTATCATCGTCGATGGTGCGATTATGCAGCCGATTCCCGAGCATCCAAAGAGGGATTACATATTTTGTCTCAGCACCGCGTTCGGGGACGCCTATCTATTTCAAGTAAGAAAAATTTTTTCCTTTTCACTTTTATACTAAATATAAGTGCATAAAAAAATACTATAAAAAATATATATATTTATTTATATTAAACTACACGAGATATATAACTTCCATGATTTTTACAACAAATTATTCTTTACATTATATGTACGATCTCTCTTTGAATCTTTATAGTTAAATATATAATAGTGATAAAAATAAATAAACAAAACAGAATTACGTAATTACCACAATAAAAATTTGCTTTTTTATGTCGTTTTCTGGAAGATAAATTTCTGAAGGTACATTTTATTATAAAACGTTGAATAAATTATTGCGTATAATATAAAATTAAAATTTGAAGTAAAAGTTTATTACACAGAACTCGGAAAATAAAAGAAACAATTCTTATATACCTCAATTTTATTTTCGCATTCGATATTCTTGAGAGAGTTCAGTAACCGCGAAAGTTCAGTAAATCACTTCTCTGCCCTAACTAGATGTATTTGATTAACCTCGTCGTACATATATACACTTACACACACACACACACACATATTCATTCCTTTATCACGCAACAACGAACTTTTAATAGCCTGTGCAGTTGAAGTGCTTAAAAACTCTCCTACCGCCACTTTAAATCTCTTGGAAATATGGAAGTCGTGCACGTTATACCTTGAAACAATCAATTCTGAAGCTACCTACTACGTCGAGCGATCGTAATTATTAAAAGTTGAAATTTTCGCTCGAAAAAAAAAACCACGTTGTGTCTCGCTTTGTTTTAGGCGCCGTGTCAAGTGGAGTTAGAAAATTGGGTAAACAGTATTCATTCGGCATGTGCCGCCGCGTTCGCGCGTCATCGCGGCAAGACCGGTACGTTGCATCTGTTGCAGGAGGAGATTTTCCGTTTGGAGAAGGCGATTGAGTCGGTACGTTAAAAAAAACATCGAAATCAATCTACATTATTTTGTTTTGATTCCAACTTATTTGTCCTCTACAGAAAATTTATACAAACAGTAATAACAGATAGAACAAAACGTGTATAGAATTGATTTTAATAAATTTAAATGTTCTAAAAAATTTTCTATAAAAACAATTAAGAAAAGAATCTTATCATTATTTCCGCACAGTGTTCTTTTATTTTTTTACATAAATAAAGAAATCATTAATTGACATCGACGTTTGCAGGATCACAAAATGAAACACATGGCGGATCTTCAGCAATCAGTAGTTTCTGACGTTGACACTAAGCAGCAAATTAACAATCAAATAATACAGTGGGAAGAGAATCTGGAGCGATTACATTGCGAACAATTCCGCTTGCGGTGCTATATGGCCAGTTTACAAAGTGGCGAACTGCCCAATCCAAAGGTAAGCACTGTAGATTGTTGTAAAAAATAATTAGAAAAAAATTAGAATTTTATAATAATTGCATCAAAACTTTAAACTATCAGGAGATATTATACGCAATATCTCGATATCGTGAAATCTTCTATTTTCATGCGCGTTTCACGATTTTTCATATATAATTTCTTTCTGTTTATTATATGTGACAAATTTATATAAAAAAAACGAAATTCTATATTTTTCTGATTGTTTTTGATTTAATGGTTTGAATTTTTTACGTTTACTAGACGCGCAAGTGCATTTTTCTTGCGAGAAAGAATTCGGAGAGCTTTTTTTATATATTTTTTTTTTTCGTTTTAAACGTTTGTCAAATGTTTGACGAGGTAAAACCGGGAACGTTATGTCGTTTACAATCACAATCGAACGAAGAGTATTGATTTAGCTTTTCGTTGTAGCATTGGAAAAGCCAATACTCTCGGCTTTTCGATCGTAAACAACATTTGCGCGCAGCAATCTCGTTGTATTGTTCACCGAGAGCGCGACGAGTCGCTGAAATTGTCTGAAAACTCTCGTCTTGTCATCTATACTACGCGCGCAATTAGGACATCTATTGCGAAATTATTTACGATTGCAATCTTACACGCGAATTTCGAAACTTGTCAGTCGGGAAATTAACGTAAGTGCCTTGAATTCAGAAGAGATTCATCTGCATTACGAGCATCTAATTTGCGTCATTCCGTGACGAGTGATATCGATCGTTACGCGCGCAGAAGAAAGAGAAAGAAAAGTGAGAGAGAGAGAGAGAGAGAGAACGAAATGCGCTATAGTAGTACGATAAAATTAACATTCTTGCGATTACATATAAAACAGCAAATCATAATATTTATAATAAAAAAGATTAGAAATTTACATAAACTCATTTTTAAAAGACGCAAAATATTTTACAATTTTATATAAATTTATAAGTTTATTCCGTTTATTCCATTTGTTGTGTATATATACTTATAGTGTTTCTTCTTTATTAATGCAAAACGACATCATCAAGATAAATAAACGTCCTCATCTCTTTTCTTCTTCAGAGTCTTCTGACACACGTGTCTCGCGCTACAAAACAGACATTGAACAAGCTAGGCGTGTTCACGGTGTCGTCTTTTCACGCGTTTATTTGCGCGCGTAGTCCATCCTTGCTAAATAATTTATTGGCGGGTCGTGGAGCGACGAAGAGGAGGCCGCCGCTGCTGTCCAGGTCGAACAGCGGTTCAAGCAGACGTTCATTGCAAATCTCGTCCAGAGACGAGGAGAAGAGCGTGAAGGTGTCCGTGCCGGAAAATCAGGTACGATCATCAGGACGCCGGGTGAGTTGATTAAAATTCTATAATCCTTAAACAATTAACCTTAAAGCGAGATAAGGATAAATCAAACGCGATCCGGTGTTTTTCGTTTGTTGTTTCAGCACGTATCGGTGTTTCTGCGCGACGGTATGACTGTCGAGGAATTCCTGGCGAGCGCGTGCACCAGGAAGAACCTAAATCCGATGGAGCACTTCGTACGCGTGAAGAAGCGGCGAGATATGGAGGACCACAACTACTTTGTGCCACACAGAACTGATTTGATAGAAACATATGTAAGTGATGTGATAAATTTTTAGATATTCTCTCTAGAAAAATATATATTTGAAATGCATTTACACTAATAAACATAATTAATAATGTATATATTTATAAAAATACTAAGAGCGTGCGTGCACGCTAAAAGTAATATAACGTTATTTACTAATCTCTTAAAAATAATACTGGTCAAATATAAAAAAAGAAATTAATGATTTTTTAGCAGAGTCAGAAAGAAAATCAAAAACATTAATTTAAAAAATAACACTACCTTCTTTATCACGCGATTTTTTTAAGTGAAGAAAATTAGAGTTTTCTTTTCTTAGTCACTGTTCTTTAAAAATAAATATAATTGAAAACAGAAAACTTGAAGTAATCACTAATGACTATGCGATTAAGTAATGAAACTTTACTATATGGAAATAGAGACACTATTAAGATAAAATTGTTTTTCTGCATTTCCTCCAGTGGCATACGCACGAAATCGTGGAAGTTTGCGCTAAGATTTTATATCAAGTGGAATTACAAAGAAACACTTTAGAGCAAATGTGGGGTTTCTCCGTCGAGGCGGAGCTTATAGAAAACTCCGACAGGCAGGACGAGCTGTGCTGCTATGTTAGTAGAGTGGAAGACAAAAGTGTCGCCATGCAAAACGGTAAGCACCCCCTTATCTAGGACAACCAATAAACTAAAATAAACGTCCCTCGAGCTCAACGATTAAAAGTTTCATCTATCGTTACAAGGTTGTTTTTTCTATTCTTCATATACGTTACAAGGCTTTTTTATTTCGTGTTATTATTTATCAGCGATTATTTTATTTTTTTCACACTCGGTCATGACTATTTATAAGCCGCACAAATTTGCCGCAAAAGCGATGTTAAGGATGACAGTGACGTTTATCTAGGTTTCTTTATTAAAGTCAATTACGAACAAATCAAATTTATGCGATCAAAGTTTAATGCATCAAGAAACAGTTTGTATCTTATTAGTGCGGTGTAAATACGTTAAAAAAAAAAAAAAAAAAAAATAGTGCAGCATTCCACAAAATAGATAGTTCATATCTCGCTTCTCTATTTTCTCGGTTTAAACTTCTTACAGATCATCAAAAGATGATGGACGGTAAGATACGCGGTATTAATTTTTTAGACCGTGTCAGGATGTGTAAGGACGCCATTGAAAGTCATCGATTTCTCACGCCTCGCTCGCTCGCTCGTTGAGCAAAGTCTCGTGCTTGTGGCTAAATGAAGCGTATATAATACGCGCAAAAAAAAGAAATATATATACATAAAGTAAAAATACATACATATACATGTGGTACATATAAAGATTGCGGTATAGGGTGGGGTGGCGGCTTAGAGCCGCAGGCGCAAACAAATCAGCAAATGACATTTAGCGCCGCCTTTCCGCGTAAGCTGTCTAAATTTATCTAACAGTTTACTCGTTAAGCACGACAGAAAGGAGCAACTTATTATAATCGTGAAAGATACCGAGCCGAGCAGTCGATCGTCTTCGTTAAAGCGGTGAATTGCAAAGAGTAGAGAAAAACGTTGAAGATTCAACATAAAAATTTATAAAATACCGGCTAATGTTAATTGTACATACATCTCTACAAAAAATTTGGAAAATTCCTGCGCACGTTCTTTATTGTAATGCAATTTTGTTTTTTTTTTTTTTTGTTTTGTTTTGTTTTGTTTTCTTCAGGAATTATCAAGGGCGATGAGATTATGGTAATTAACGGCGCCATCGTGAGCGATCTTGATATGATGCACTTGGAGAGCCTTCTGCAAGAAGAGTTCGGCCTTTGCATGATGATGCGATCTTCGAGAACCGAGCCACCGGATCTCACGGGCATTATGCGAGTCACTGATGACATAATCGAGAGCCTGGTCTGTCCGCCGCCTCCCTCCGATCCACCGGTCATAAGCGAGGAGATGATTTCCGGTTTAATTGTTCCGGCACCCGGGTGGAGTGAGTATTTAGATTCTGAGAGATCTCGTTAAAAGAAAGTAACTCCTTATTCTCTCGAATAACGAGAAATAATACGAGTCAAAGTGATATCAAAGTGTCATATAACAAGAATAAAATTTATGTCTTATTACTGTAAAATGTTGTAATTTCACTTCTTCAGCAAAATAACATGTAACTTAATGTTATTTTGCTGAGGAAGTGAAATTACAACATTTTACAATATGACATGGCATTTTACGATGTGTTACGCAGGTAAGGAGAATATTATGCAGGAATGCACGTCGGCTGCTCACATGGAGAACAGCAAGCAGACCTCGCGGACAAATTCCTTCGAGATCGAGAATCTTTTGAAGACTGCCGAACAGGTGACAGGAATCTGTCGTTCGCCCGGTGAGACCAGAAAGTCGAGTCCGACCGGAAGTGTCGTTAGTTCTCATTCGCAGGCTCTCACACCGAGTCGGCAACTTAGCGACGCTGAGAAGCTGAAGAAAGTGATTTTAGAATTGATTGAGACTGAACGAACTTATGTAAAGGTACTAGCAATTGTATAATACGGTTGATTAGAACATTGAAAAATATATTGTAAATACGCGTAATTAAATAGAGAAGTTTCTAAACGAGAGTTTCTTTTCGTTCTTGTGTTCTTAGAATTTAAATAATTTGCTGGAGAACTATTTGGAACCCCTTAAACGTGAAACTTTCCTGTCGAATGCGGAGATCAACGCGCTGTTCGGTAATATTCAGGAGATCGTCACGTTTCAACGACAGTTCCTGCAGAATCTCGATCACGCTATCGAGATGGAGGCCGATTTCAACAACTTTGACCATCCGAGTCAATTTAAGGTGCGAATTTTTTTTGTGTCTTATAATATAATAACTTTATTGTGTTTGTATCTCTTATATATAAATTTAAATTTTTATCTTTCCACAAAACATGGGAAAATTGAAAGAGAGAGAGAGTCGAGTTATTAAATATTCTCAATATCTTACAATTCTCTTTTTATATTTTTTTATAGCAGAATATATTCACCTTCGTGTTTTGACGACTCAAATATTATTAACTTCAAATGCTGTCGTAAACTAACAAACATTCAAGCAAGTATAAGTTTGCTGCTTTAAACTTTATATTTCAATATTGCTTTTCTTTGTTGCACAGGGAGTCCTGTTTTCCATTGGAAGTGCCTTCTTATATTACGTAAATCACTTCAAGCTGTACAGCTCGTTTTGCGCAAGTCACTCGAAGGCTCAGAAGGTTTTACATCCAAGTAAGTTTTTTCTCTTAAAAGTATCTATCTCTTTTTTTTTTTTTTGCAACGAACAACTTTCGTTTCTTCAACATCAGCCTAATATCCTTCGCGATCGATAATTTATTCGCCGAGAATAACTATATCCGATCTCTGAATACCAACCTTCGTTTTTCTCTATAAATATGTCGCAGAAAGTACTTCGATTTTATTATTCATGTCAACTTTCTGCAAAGAAGTGACATTTTTACACAAATAGACACTGCGCGATTAAATATTTAAATAGATAATTTAAGTTTTCCTATATCCCGTATTTATATTATCGCTTGACATTTTCTTCCCCGTTACTGCAAAGGTCTTAATTTTAACGGCGAGTTTATACCGAGACAGATTTCTTTTTCTGTAAGAAAAAAAAAAATCACATTTAGCGTAATTACAACGGACTTGCGAGAACGAAGCAATCTTCCGATACCTTATTAAGGATAATGAACAATTTCAGACGAGGGAAATCAAGCTTTACAAGAGTTCCTGCAAGCGAGAAATCCTCGGCAGCAACACTCATCGACCTTAGAATCGTACTTGATAAAACCTATACAAAGAATACTCAAGTATCCGCTGCTGTTGCAGCAGCTTAGAAATCTCACTGACGAACGGAGCGAGGAACATCAACATTTAATCGGTAATTGGCGCGATATTGCGAGCGTAATGAACAACTCGAGGCGTCATTAGGTGTCTAATTGCGTAAAAACTCAAATTGCAGAGGCGCTCAAAGGCATGGAGAAGGTGGCGGAACACATAAACGAGATGCAGAGAATTCACGAAGAATACGGCGCTATTTTCGATCATCTCTTCAGGCAACACCAAAAATCTTGCAAACAGGTGAGTTTAATTTCGATATTCGTCTATTCGAAAAAAAAAAAAAAAACTGTTATAACGATATTTTATTATATATTGCGTAAAAGTCAGAAAGATAATAATCGTGAAAGATGAATAACTTATTGAAAATAAAAATTGCTCTTTTATATTGATCTTTGTTATATTATTTTGATTATATTATTTTAACATTTCTAACTATATTTTACAACTTACATGTAAATATTTAGTCTCAAGGAATAATAATTTTTAAGATAAGTAATACTCGATTCAATTGTTCGATAGCCGATCGACTTAAGTCCGGGCGATCTTTTATATTACGGCGGCGTCGAGTGGCTCAATATTTCCGACTTCCTCGGTAAAATAAAGAAGGGTCTCGAATTGCACGCGATGTGCTTCGTATTTAAATCGGCCGTCGTGTTCCTGTGCAAGGAAAGATTGAGACAGAAAAAGAAACTCATGGTAAATATTCGCATATTGTGTTTTTCTAAATCAATTCACTTCTACTGTGTTGTTTGAAAAACGTTCTCGATATTAAAGAAATTTGCTCATGCATTTTCAGGGGGTCTCAACAAAAGCTAACTCCAGCGAGGTGGAAATCATTCGTTACCAAGTATTGATCCCGGTGACAGAAGTCCAAGTCAGAGCCAGTTCTGCCAAAGACATGGAATCCCACTTTTTGTGGGAATTGATTCATCTAAGGAGTCAATTACAGAGAAGATCGGAAAAAGTATACGTGCTCTCTAACAGGTATATCTAAAAATGTCTTATTTTTTACGTTTTATATTTATTGAACTATAGATATTAGAACGAATGCTCTACTTCTACATTTACTTTTTTTGAGAAACATAGTATTTGTTTTTGAGAACTTTAATAAATTACTAATATAGGAAAAAGATAAATTTTGTCACAAGTACGATCTTAAAATTGTTGTTCTTCTACAGTACAACGGAATTCCGAAACGCGTTTTTGAAGACAATCCGACAGATTATTCGGGAGTCGGTAAGAAACATGAGCATACCCTCGACGAAACAGAACATGGGTCACGCACCGATGTCGATGGCGCCGCGCATGTCAACCGGCCATGTGGAGAAATTCGACAAGCAGCAAACCGGCCAGGGTCAGAACGGAAATGGTGCGGTCATACCGGGCACGCTCTCGAAAAAAGCGATGAAGCAACAATTGCTCGCAAGTTCGCACAAACGCAAATACAGCCAATCGAAACAGCCGGTGGAGCACGAGAGTTCGGAAGATAAGGATCAGGAGGACGCGCCAATTCAGCAGCAAACCACGTTTCGTTCCAGAAGTAAAACTATAAGCGACACTTCCGGTAAGATAAGACTTCGATAATTTTGTTTTCGAACAAAAGTCCTTTTAACATTCATGAATGAGGTTTTTATATATTTAGTTCATTGGCATAAAAATGCGTAATGTGGCGCACGGTGTTCGGCTACGCGGTCTTAGTCGTTTCGCAATTTACACCCGTTAAAAAAAATTTTGCACATACATCCGTTTGACTCGTCTTATTATTTTTCTTATTTTTTTAATGTGAAAAATATATGTTATTATTTTAAAAATTATCGGACACGGTGTTGTTGCATTATCGGGTTTAGGCGAAGCGAAAGTGGAAATGGATTCGGGCACAAAGTCAGAAGGTGAAGAAGATTCGCAGGCTTTTTTAGGTGAGAAGAAGACGAATCTCGGCCGCACACCCAATCATCTCACGCTGAGTACCACGTCAACCATCTCGGCGGGAAGCACCGGTAGTCAGGCCAGATTGATCCAGTCTTCTCATCAGCCCGAAAATTACCAGCCCACTACCGTCAAAGAACTCGGTGAGTGTCTTATGTCATCGCAGTAGTGTTGCTAGTGTGACTCTAAAAAAAAAATTAATTAAAGAAATTCATATCTAGATCGCTACTCTGTTTATTAATAATAAGCTGCTTTCTTCAACAGAATTGACAATAAAAATAATTGTACATTGTGTAATTATTTCGTTTTATTCGTTTTTGTTTAAGGAGAAGGGACGCGTGATAAAGATGAATCTCTTGGTATCATATCGCAATGTTTTTGAACAGGTTCGCCGATTTGGAAGCCACGAGAGCTACCTTCTTTGGGAGAGGCCACCACATTACCGCGCAAGGGTAAGTCGGCCGGCGAGTTCGCGGACATGAGCTCGAGCCACAGCGCCTCCCGAAAGTCTCTAATAGAAATCAACAATTGTGCTCAACAATCTAACTTTAATAATCACGTTTAAGTTGAATAATATCGAGGTTGACTCGCTAACGAGGAAATATCGTTAAGATCCGCCACTATTCACCACTGTGTCATCGTTTCATTGTCATCATTAAAAACACAACCAACAATCATCGTCATATGTAATGCACATAAATAATTGTTTGATTATTGCGAGTATCACACGACGCGATAACAATACGCGAGAGACACACGTCCGCCGCCCACGTGGAAAAATTCACGCGAAATACAAAACTGCTACTTTCTCCCTCCGCTCTCTTCCTCGTTTTTTGTCTTCCAGCAGAGGAATCGCGCGTTTGATTGCGTGCGCGTTGCGTGTGTGTTGCGTGAGAGAATAAGTGAGATTGCTCGACTAAAGCCTCCTCTATTGTACTCTCTCTAAAGAATTTAATCGAACTCATATATGTATATATATATATATATAGATATATATATATATATAATATGTATAATTTCTTTTTTATATGAATATAACATTATTACGCTTCTTAATTATTATGTCTCGCGACACATTCAATTAATTAAAAACGATGTAATTTTTCACATTAGGATAAATAACTATTAATATATTTTTTATGGTTGAGTAATTTTTTTATTTTTGATAATAATTTTTGAAGAAACTAGAAAGAGATGTGATGCCGAGTGAATTGCTGGCTTTGAAAGGATAAAACTTAATGGCACGTGTGTGTGTATGAATATTTCAACGTTTTTGAAATTCTCCCGCACCGTTTGCAAAAGACTTTTATCCAGAGCGATCGAGATGAATGAATTAGGAAATATAAGAGAGTTAATTTTAAATTCTCATTTTTGCATTACGCATTTTTCTAACTTTGTTTCTCGTTGTTGCTTTCGATTCCTTTTTTTCCGCGTGGACGGCGGCGCGATAGCCGGACAGATAAACGACTGTATATAATGTAATGATATTAAATTGTCACTATATGAAGTGTTATACACACACGTCGCGATCGCGATCGGGCGCGTAGCGCGCTCGATACGTTGTTTCTCATTATTCTACCGTACATTATATGGTCTTCTCATCTTTTTATTGTTATATAAAACCGTGATATATGCATCACACATCACATTGATGATCGCCAGTTGACGCGAAACCACACACGATCAAAGAAGAAAAAACACAAAAAACTGAAGAAGAAGCGATTTTCGTGCGCGTAGTGAGTAAGTTTTAGCGATTAAAAGAGAAATCAATTACATTAAAATAAAATGTCGCATATATATATATATACACAGAAAATATATGTATACATACTATATATATACGCGGGATATTATATAGAGTGCGGAAAATGTGTGATGGGTTTGTGAAATTGTATTGTAACGTCGTCCACGGTTCCCCCCTTAAAAAAAAAAAAAAAAAAAAAAAAAAAAACGTTCCGCCGCGTATTAACCTGTTTTCAGGGTCGAGCATCCTCGCCGATATAGCAGATTTTATTTTTAACGTTACTTAAGATGTGAAAGAGAATGAGTGAACATAAAAGAAAGAGAGAGAGAGAGAAAGAGAGAGAGGTAAAGAAAGAGAGAGAGAAAGAGGGAGTGGTGAGAGGGTGAAAGAAAAAAAGAGGATGTGTGTATGAATGTGTATGTGAACGAAAAAAAAAAAAAAGAGAGCGAGAGAGAGAAATGGCCAGAGTGCTCGAGACCGAAGTTGCGAGGTGAGATGCGCCGGCGTAACGATGAAAATGTATTCAAGGCCCGTGACTTAGGACGGTAATGTGCCGGGAAAATAAAACAGAAGATAAAAGAGATGGTACGCAACACACTCGACTCTAATCCGTGTATATCGATTAGAAGCGACGAACAGTATCGAGAGGGGCATTGATGGTATAATAGTACCGGCACTGGAATTAATTTTCCCGATAATCCGGCATGATCCGACACACATGTACTGCGTTGTTAAATGAGTATTACGATAAATTAAGAATGGTATCGAGGGATTAATACGTGTAAATTAGACGACAGAAAGTATCCACATAGAAACGTATACCTATACAACCAAAAATATATATAAATAAAAAAAAATATATATACACAGATTAACACACACACACACACATGACATGTAACGCAAAAGTGGTGTAAAACTCCGAGAATGTCTTTCAGAGGAGGATATTCGAGGATTCGAAACGCTCTTTTTGACGAGAAGAGTTTTATAGAAATGTTCTAAGAATATATTTTGCGCGAACATGTCGCAAAAATATGTGCTGAGAATGTTCTAATCACATACACACACATACACACACAAATACACACAAAAAACACTCATACACACGCGCGCACATGTTAAGTTTTGAGAAATAATTTTCAAAATATTCCGAGACTATTCCGTGGATGTTTTGAAAATGAAGATGTTTAAATATTGCGACATTCTGAAGAAAAAATACTTCCTTTTACCTCGCATCACCACATACAACATGTACGCATACTCGAGAAAAGTGGATGTCACGCGCGCCATACGAGCCGATCACGAGTCGATCTTCACATCGAACGAAGACGTTTAAGTAATTCTATAGCACGATACAGTGAATAGGACAATAAAAGGGATAAAAAAAAAAAAAAGAAGACACACACGAATCCAACGGTGCTTGAGACATCACCTCGACGTGCCAAATTCTTCGTTAAAAGATGGACTCTCGTTCGAGGAATCTGCGATTTTGGTATCTCCCTTTTATCTGTGATTCACACACGGTTCCAGTTAAACGGATCGATTGTAGTGCTGATCGCTGTGAAAATCGATTAGCGGATCCGGAATCACATAATTGCGAGCTTAGATCTTCCTCGGCGTTAGTCATGAGTCCGAGGATGATGTCTCAAGTTACGTAGGAGACCTGTTGAGATGCATAGAGATGCCGCGAAATTGAATTGAGTATCGATACATATTCGATCGTTATTGATCGGTATCGGTGATACTCTCGCGCGATCCTATTTCTTATACAAGGTACCGCTTGCGTCAGGGATCGCTTACGATAATCATCGAATTATTTTTTGCAACGAGAAAGTAGTCAAAGATTTCATGGAAATAGAACTAACGTGTATTGTATAAAAACATACAGGGCGTCCCCAGAATTATCGTTCACGAGAAAATCGTTAACGTCTTCGTTCGATGTTTCGAGCCTACAATCGTCGCCCGATCATGAAATAGAAAATAGATATTCAATTGCCGATTACTGGGATTTGATAATGTATTGATACTCGACATACGCACACATTTACGTACGTTGTCGTCCAGAACGTCGATCTGCGGTTCGAACGAACATGCGTTTTTCATTAATTTATATTTTTAAAGTTATCTTTATATTATCAGCACCTTTATATTATTTTTTGATATTTTTATAATAGTGTAATATTGGGAAAATATTACATTATTATAATAAAAAAATGTGCAATATATTACGTAACGTTATATATAAGATTTATAGACAGACAGAGGCGAATTTATATTGAGAGATTGTGTCACAAATGATGCGCGCAACATCCAACAAAAAAAAAAAAAAAAAAAAAAAAACGCGCATCAAATAAAAAATTTCCCTTCGTCGTTTTGTAGAATTGAAAATTGCGAACAC